TCAGTTGTTTTCCGATCCATCTCATGGTCGCAGTCGGATTTTCCATGACGGCGCGCAAAATTCTCCGACGATTTTCTTCTTGTTTCGATGACATCTCAATAACCACTGAACCGATTGTTATGAAATTTTGCACATGTAAACAATTCACTTTAAACTAGTTATATTCAGATTTTCATTGATTTTTACCCACGGATAAAAAAGTTACACACGGATAAAAATGGTGCATTTTTTTCGAGTACAAGCCTTAATGCGATGATGCTTTAAACGCTGGCCAGACTGGAGAGTTATAACATGTTATAACGGTTGTCAAATAATTGCAACACAGAAAGCACCATCAAGATAGCGCTATAACATGTTATAACCATAGAGGTAACTCTAAGACCACTGGGTCCCGAAGAAAATCATTATTATTTTTGGCTCACTCAGTACCAGAACAACGGTCCCAAGCAGTCCCAAGCTATTTCACTCACCCCTGCATGTTCTGCATCAATCCACACACCCCTGATGTTATCTGTCAAACTTTCATAGCGAATCAAAACAAACATAGTGTAGTAATAGAATTTCAACTAGAATAGGGTACGTTAATCGTTTGCTTGGGACCAATAGGCTACTAAAGTGGTGAGCCAATTTAAAATCGTTAGTTTCGTATTGATTGTTGTTATAACTCTGTAGTCTGAACGTACTATTACACAGATAAAAATTCTGAATTTTAAAAGTTATGTAAACATTCATTCACTTAAACTTGTATTTCATTTCACGCAACCGAGCAACTTGTAAACAATGTTGTTTACAACAATGGGCTTTTGTATACAATATTTGCTACATTGCATGAAATGTCTCAGAACTTTACATGATATATAATGTACACCTATATGATATGTGACGCTCCATTTATGTGCATCATACTGAACAGAAATTTACACTACTTTTCGAACTGTGTATCCGACCAAAACACGTAGTTTCGTGCATGATATTTTTGAACAAAAGGAATCAATATTTTCTTCAAACATTGATTTTGGTACACTTCTTGGTTGATGGCCAAACCACTAGGTTTGAACCATGGCTTAGAAATTCCTCTCTCCGATATGGCGATATACAGCATCACTTTCTGTACGAACTTGAATCTTACGTTTGGAGATGTTGTACAACTGTTATCTGAATAATATATCCATCATTCTCCATTGGCGTAGCTAAGTGGATGCCAAGGGGGGCTAGGCCCCCTCCAGAATTATCTGCAGTGACCCAACATTTTGCAACTACGGGACGCCGGAGTTGCCCAGGACTACGTGCAGCAGCTGGTAGTTTGCCGCAGCTTCTCGAATCAAAACAAACATTGCGTAGTACTAGAATTTCGACTAGAATGGGGTACGTTAATCGTTTGCTTGGGACCAATAGGCTAGTCAAGTAGTGAGCCAATTTAAAATCGTTAGTTTCGTATTGATTGTTGGTACTGCTGCAGCGGCAGTAGGTACTGAAATCCCGGACCGAAGAAATTACTGGTTTGACGGCGAATGCAAACTGTTGGTAGAGGAGAAGAATGCAGCACGGGCGAGAATGCTGCAACACCTCACGAGATTGAATGTGGAGCGATACAGACAAGTGCGGGACAGACAAAACTCGGTTTTCCGAAGGAAGAAGCGTCAGCAGGAAGACCGAGATCGCGAGGCGATGGAAAATCTGTGCCGCGTAAACGACACATGGAAGTTCTATGACAAGCCAAATAGTTCGCGCAAAGGCTACGTGCCGCAAGCCGATATGTGCAAGGACTTGGACGGTAACCTTCTCACGAACGAGTGTGAGGTGATTGAGAGGTGGAAGCAGTACTAAATATGACGAGCATCTCAACGGTGAAGCAGCAGAAAACGAAGATGGCACGGCAACAGACATTGGAGCACGCGCAGAAGACGACAGGCTACCGGCCCCTGATCTTCAAGAAGTTGAGGAGGATATCGGTCGGCTGAAGTAGATCTGGTGTAGATCAACTACCAAGTGAGCTATTAAATATGGCGGTGAAGTATTGGCTAGAGCGCTGCACTGGGTAATTGCCAAGATTTGGGTGGAGGAGATACTACCGGGATAGTGAATGGAAGGTCTATGGACCTTGTGGAATCTACAAAAAGGGCGACAAGTTGGATTGCTGCAACTACCGCGCGATCACACTGCTAAGCGCCGCCTACAAGGTACTCTCCCAAATTCTATGCCACCGCCTGTCACCATTTGCAAGAGAGTTCGTGGGACAATACCAGGCGGAATTCATGGGTGCCCGCGCTACCACGGACCAAATTTTCGCGATTCGGCAGGTTCTGCAGAAATGCCGCGAATACAACGTGCCCACACATCATTTGTTCATCGATATCAAATCCGCATACGACAAAATCGATCGAGAACAGCTATGGCAGATTATGAACGAGTACGGAGTTCCGGACAAATTGACGCTATTGGTTAAGGCGACGATGGATCGAATGATGTGCGTTGTTCAAGTATCGGGGACACTCTCGAGTCCCTTTGAATCTCGAAGGCAAGGTGATGGACTTTCGTGTCTGCTATTCAACATCGCGTTAGAAGGTGTGATCAGAAGAGCTGGGATAGACAAGAGTGGCACGATCTTCAGGAAGTCCATTCAGCTTCTTGGCTTCGCCGATGACGTTGACATCATTGCACGGAACTTTGAGACCATGGCGGAAACGTACATCAGCCTGAAGGCTGAAGCTAGGCGGATTGGACTTGCCATCAACGCATCAAAGACAAAATACATGAAAGGAAGAGGTTCTAGGGAAGACAATGTTAGCCTCCCACCCCGAGTTCAGATTGACGGTGACGAAATCGAGGTAGTCGATGAGTTCGGCCCACTGGTGACCGCCGAAAATGATACCAGCAGAGAAATTCAAAGAAGCATTATGGCAGGGAATCGTGCCTACTTTGGACTCCGTAGGACGCTCGCTCCGGTCGAATAAAATTCGCTGCCGCACGAATTTGACTGTCTACAAGACGCTGATTAGACCAGTGGTCCTCTACGGTCACGAGACCTGGACTATGCTCGTGGAGCGCCTTGGTGTTTTCGAACGGAAGGTGTTGCGTACCATCTACGGTGGAGTGCAGATGGATGACGGAACGTGGAGGAGGCGAATGAACCACGAATTGCACCAACTGCTGGGAGAACCATCCATCGTCCACATTGCGAAAATTGGGCGACTACGGTGGGCTGGGCACGTCGTAAGAATGCCACACGACGACCCAGTGAAAATGGTTCTAGAAAGCGACTGAACAGGAACAAGAAGAAGATGCGCGCAACGGGCAAAGTGGATCGACCAAGTAGAAGGTGACCTGCGGACCCTTCGCAGACTACGAGGCTGGCGAACTATGGCCATGGATCGAGTAGAGTGGAGACGACTTCTTCGGACAGCAGAGGACAACAAGGCCTTAGCCTGATTGGTAAGGTAAGGTATCGATTAGCTCGGAACCAAAGAGAGTACCAGAGCTTAGTCAACAAGTTGAGCACGTTTCTTCGGGACCTTCTGGTCTTAGAGATACCTCTATGATTTAACTGTACACTGAACGAAAACATTCGCAATACTTCGAATGATTATTGCATTGCTCGAGCCCTTTAACAATATGCTTTCGAATTTCAGATGATTGCCTTATGGTTGAATTCGTCATCGGCCGATGAGTTTTCATATGACTGTCATACAAATAAAGGATGATACTTATTTGAAAATTGGCTGTAAAACATACTGCGCTTGACTTGTAAATACTTTAAATAAGATTTATAATTCGATTGTTTGCATTTCCAAATTAAATAGCCATGAGCAGTCATTCTATCATGGATATAAAAATCGTTTGTTAGTAGAGGAAACTTCCTCCACCACGAAATCGACAATCTTCGAATTCCACGCTTTACCAATGTTCGTATCACCTCTGATAGCGATGACTATATTTCCACCTCGTTTTTCAGCTCAGATCAGAAAATGACATTCGATAGAATTATTTTCATCATCGTTTTGGATAATTTGCGTTATGGTGCTGAACCAATACCATGCATTTCAATTTTGGATGACAATCATTCTACAGAGAGCATTACGTATTTCAACTGAGGTCCGTTCGCTTCTCGCATCAATGTTCATCCTGTATTTAAGAGGAGCATCATTTGATTACAAAACCACTGTCATCCGATTGCACCTATCATTCGAAAAAGCAATTTCGATGTTTCGATCTCGGTTTCGATTTGAATGGTCTGAAGTTTCATTCGAACAGAGGATGATTTTTTTTTGGTACCGTGTAGTTACTGATGTCGCTAATGGTACAGTTGTAAGGCTTTCAGAGCTTGGGACGTCAGGTGCTATCGCTGTAGTTGGCTTCTTTGAGCTTTCGGTAATATGCTGCTCCTCGCTTGAGATGAAAAGAGCTTGTTTGTCAACACGAAGACGGCAGGACGTGCAAATGCGAAAACCAGTACTCAATTCTGATGCTTTGGAATACCCAATGGATTTTGATTTCTGGATGGTTCTATCCGATACACTCCTCAGCTCTTTCGAACACTTAACTTCCTCGAACGACCGAATGCACCTGATTATGTATGCTCGTTTATTCATGGTGCTTCCTGGATTAAAAAAGAAAAAATAATTGTGTTGAAAAATGATATCATTGAAATACAACTATTATTAATCCTTACCTTTACCAAATAGTGTTACACTCATTCCCTTTCAAATCGTTATATCTTTCAAGGTGTATGTGGTAGTTAGCAATCTTTGTGACCAACTGCTAGTTTTCACCATTCGAACTCCTTTAAATATCAGATTGATAGGCACAATTTCTACATTACGTACAGACAGATGTTTTTGGTGTTCACTACTACAGCGTTGAGCATTGGACTTATTATCGTTGAGGTCACTGATACGGATCTAAATTGACCTACACTCAACGTTCGCTAACTGAAACATATTTACTTTTCATCAGCTAACAAACCTGAAGCTAACGCCAAACTTTTCGTTTTCCATTTACAGTGACAAAGCCCACGCTTTAAAGAAGTCCAAGGTCAAGAAAAAGCCCAAAAAATCAAAAGCAGCTGACTCGGGCAAAAGCCGAAAATCCATGGAAGCATCCCACAGTAAACCCAAAGCAACCCAACTTGCACTAGAAGGAAATCCACTCTACCACACAATCAATGGTTACGTTGTCGATCTACGGATTGCCGCACAGCAAGACACATTTCGACTGCCGAACGGTAAGCTAATCCAGGTTCGAAGGCAACCGAAAAAGGGATCCGACACAGAAACCGATTCAACAACTCCAACGGATGTAGCCAAAAGTACTGCACCAGTCTCGCCTTCAACGGATTCAACAGAAAAACCAAACACAGAGACTTCAGACAAGCCAATCTCAGCAAAAACTGCAACCCCGCGATCATCTGCCCGAAAAGAGTCGGAATTGCCGCCACCACCAATCAAAGCACACACCGAAAAACCCTCAAAAACCTACACCAATCGACGAACGCTCAATCAGCCACCACGAACATCGCCCTCAATCCGCTCTGGGCCACTTTCTACTCAATCGTTGCCAGAGTCGAACCAACCTTGGACTGAAAGCCTCCTTAGTAAAGAAACAACAACAACAACAATTCCCACTCAACCGCTATCGCCAGCAACTACCCCATCAACACCACCGGTGACGCCCCGCCAACCTACAGCAACTGCAACTCCTTCTTCGCATCCAACGCATACCGCAGTTTTTGTCCCACCCTCGCTTAGCACCCTACAAGCCCTCATACATAAAACCCACCCAGATACCCCTTTCGGTGACCACCTGAAGGAATTCGAGAACCGACTGATCTCCACCGCAGAACTCTCCTTGCACATAGTGAGCAAAATCAATACCTTTCTCCATTCCAACCCCTACCGAAATGCAGAAGATACTAGGAATCTCAAAGACCTATACCATCACGTGGCGTACATTCTCAAGTACGCCGTAGATCGATTCAAGGGATTGGAAGACAATTGCATCCAGGATATCAAACAGATGGGATTCACCAAACAGTCCGACCTGGGACCACTGTTGAGCAAACAGACCGACAAGACACCTCCCAAATCGTCCGATAAGGAAGAGACTGCTGTAGCGGAAGCGGAAGTAGAGGAAGACGACGACTGTGCGATCATTGAAGAGCGAACCGATGTAATTGAAGTGGACTCGGACGATGAAGATGAGAGCAGCGAGGACGAGGAAAGCGACGATCAAACGGCAGAACCTGCGGCAAACACGTTGAATCCCAAGCAGTTGCGAATATGCTCGGATACGGAGAGTATTGCGCAGGATGAAGGTTCCAACGACTCGGAGTGGGTAAAGAAACAGCGACGGAAGACCGACAGTGAAAGACAGGCGCAGTACGAATCTACAGAACAACCAATTGAGAACGAAACTCATACCGAAGAAGCGACCCAGATTGAAGTGGTGATGAACGAAGTGGAGGAAACGACTATTATACAGGACTATTACTATGCGGAGGACGGCGAAGGTGAGGACGAGGACGGCGAAACAATGGAACAACCAAATCAGAGCGACGATTTGGTTATGGATTTGGAGGATGACGAGGCGAGCAGTGCACAGGTGATGCAAGAAGACGAAGAGGAGACTGAAGAATTGATCGAAATCATCGAAGGAGATATCGATCTGGATTTGGAGGATGGACAGGAGTACAAGGTTATCGAAGTGATCGATGACGATTACGAAATGTGGTAAGCATCGAAAGCTTACCTCTTGAACGAGTATGTCCTGGATTTGTACAAAGTTATCTATTTTAGCAGTTAAGTGCGTTAGATCTATAGTTATAAATATTTAACTTTGAAATGTCATGATATAATAGCAAAACTGTTCTTCACTTTCCTTCCTTAATCCGAAATAGATGAGCTTCATTACCTGCGCGTGAACGTGGTATCAAATCGATTGTTAGAAATCTGCTCACATTAGAACTCGTTCAAATATTACGTAACATAAAAAAATTGCGTTTTACATACATAAGGGGGCTTATTACGGATGTCACTTCACGGTGAAAACTCGTCAGTTGTTGTCACGGTGATTCCCATTTGATTTGTACGGCAATCACGGCTCTTATTCTCAGTATCGTTTCCTTATCACCGTGTAGTGACACCCGTAATAAGGCCCAAGTTATAGAAAAAAGCCAATTTTGCGTGACGTAATATTTGAATGGCCCCTTGATACTTTCCTCTTTGGCGTACGTTCGCACATCTTCCGCCTGAATTAAATTATCCGGGACCATGGATGCATTTTACTTCTTTGTTAACTCGCTTGCGTTCAACAGTAGCATAATTCTGAAAAAAAAAACTGCCAAATGGGGTGCTTATCTCTGTGGATTTGCTAGCGCTAGTGTACTAGCCAACTAGCACGAATTTCAGTTGCTCCTGAAATCTCATGCTGGTGGACGCTGCTGCCATAGAGGTAACACTAAGACCAGAATGTCCCGAAGAAACGTGCTCAACTTTTTGGCTCAGCTCTCGTACTCTCTTCGGTCCCAAGCTAATCGATGCACCCCTCGAAGCATAGGAAAATCCACGAATCCCTCATTTTATCTGTCAAAACTTCATAGCGAATCAAAACAAACATCGTGTAGTACTAGAATTTCGACTAGATCTACCATAGAGGTAACTCTAAGACTAGAAGGTCCCGAAGAAACGTGCTCAACTTTTTGGCTCAGCTCTGGTGCCAACAATCAATATGAAACTAACGATTTTAAATTGGCTCACTACTTGACTAGCCTATTGGTCCCAAGCAAATCGATTAACGTACCCCAATCTAGTATAAATTCCAGTACTACACTACGTTTGTTTTGATTCGCTATGAAAGTTTAACAGATAAAATGAGGGGTTAGTGGATTTTCCTATGTTTCGAGCGGTGAATCGATTAGCTTGGGACCGAAGATAGTACCAGCATAGAGGTAGCTCTAAGACAAGAAGGTCCCGAAGATAGGTGCTCAACTTTTTGGCTCAGCTTTGGTGCTATCATAGAGGTAACTCTAAGACCACTGGGTCCCGAAGAAAATCATTATTATTTTTGGCTCACTCAGTACCAGAACAACGGTCCCAAGCAGTCCCAAGCTATTTCACTCACCCCTGCATGTTCTGCATGAATCCTCACACCCCTGATGTTATCTGTCAAACTTTCATAGCGAATCAAAACAAACATAGTGTAGTAATAGAATTTCAACTAGAATAGGGTACGTTAATCGTTTGCTTGGGACCAATAGGCTACTAAAGTGGTGAGCCAATTTAAAATCGTTAGTTTCGTATTGATTGTTGGTCATAGTCAAGGCAAACCATGTCAATTGTCAATGACAATGGTGTCAGTGACGAACATGTGCAGATTTGTTTATTAGCTAAATTTGTAACGAAATTAAATGACTTGAGCAAAACAATTACATGGATCCATTTCAGTGAACAAGTATCTACGTCCTGAGCTACTTGGATAACAATAATGTGACACAGAATGTACTAACTTACACTTTTTGCTACCAGGTGAATCTTTGTCATTGACGAAAAAATGAATGAGATTTTGACGAAGGTTTTTTTGAGGATCAAGTCTGTCAGTGACTATGTGACGAACAATTTTGTCAATATCGCGCGAAAGTCTGTCAATGACAATGACAAATCTCAGCACTGGCAAGGGGTCAAAAGAAGGGTACATTTTTAGAAGGAAATTTCGTTTTGGAATTTATACTGAATACAAATGATAATTTTTTATTGGAATTTTGAAGCTTGCAAGCGAGCAAGCTTGTTTTACGCGAGAAGCCCGAGAGATGTCGTTACTGAGGTCCTATGTTTTGAGATACTATGTTTTCAAGAAAAACTTTTCCAAAGTGTTATGTCTGTTGTCTGTGATTAAACTCTCTGATTAGTTTCACTTTACTAAATTGATGATACACTACGTTTACTTTTATGGAACTATGTATTTATCAATTCCAAACCATTTTAAAGCTCTTTAGAAAATGACAACCTTCAAGTTTTCGAGCACTTCGTTCACCATTTAAAAAGTCAAAGGGTCTAATATGCAATCCAATTCAATATGCAATACCAGTCGGAAACTGTTAAACCTTATCAAAGAATTGTTCGGCCTGAGTCTAGACCTGAGTTGAAGAATTTCTCGTTATGGATTGAAAAATCGGTGCATGGAACGTTGAACTATCGATTACAAATTTATAACATTATTCCACACGTTATTATCCCAAATGGTCATTACCCCGAATCCCTTGCCAAAAGCTATTGATTACATATTTTCCTTATATATTAAAAGAAGGGAATATTCCCTTCCCTTCTTTATCATACATCCAAAGAATAAATTATTTTCTTTTTATATATTCAAAGAAAGGAATATTCCCTTCTTTATCGTTCATCCAATAATTGATTATTTCCTTTTGTTATATTTTCAAAGAAGCGAATATTCCCTTCTTTATCATATATTTAACGAATTGATTATTTTCTCTTTTATATATTAAAAGAAGGGAATATTCCCTTCTTTATCGTATATCCAAAGAATTAATTATTTCCTATTGTTATATTTTCAAAGATGGGAAACCCCCTTGAGCCATTAAGGGGCTGTTCATTAACTACGTAGACAGTTTTTTTTTTGGATTCTTGACCCCCCCCCCCCGCCCTTCCCCTGCGTAGACAATTTTCACAATTGCACAATTGCCAACCACCCACTGATTCGAACAAAAACGAGTAGGGTAGAGCGCTAGTTCGTCGTAATCGCCCATTTCCGTTCTATCGATCAGAAAAGATCAATAATATCAATGATTTCACCGTGCACAAATCAATAATAGGTTTGTTCCGATGCGTTAGTTCATTAGCTACAACATAAATCCTGTTAGAGCGCATTGTATGAATATTTACGCTCATTGTTCTCAAAACAAAAGAAGCTCTCCGAGCAAATCCCCTTTTTCTACGATTATCCGTAGGACGAAGAAAATCTAATAGCGTTTCAATGCGTTAGGACGGAATTGAAACTCGTAGAACGAATTTAGAATCAAGAAGCAGTATTAGATTTTAAACAATATCTCAATAATTTGTGACTCTTTATCAAAAGAGTAAAAATGAGTAAATTTAGAAGTAAATTTTGATATTCCATTTTTTGTTCAAACTCGTTCAAAACAGAGAAGTAAAGACCGCGGGTTGTACTTAGTAGGACGAAAATTGGATCAGAAACCCTATGAGGGTGAATATTCAAATTGAACGTTAAATGCATGTACGATGATTGAGAATGAAGAATATCTGGGAAAACACTATTCCCTTGAAAATACCATCTAAAGCAAAGCATTTCGGTACACTTTAGATCAATGATTAGCACCCACCAAATTGACATTCAAATGACGATTAATGCAATTTATTATTCTGTGTATTACTTAATGGCTACTTAATGCATTAAATTTGAGTCCTCACTACTCAAGTTACATTCATTTTTTTTCAAAGTTAATCATGTACCATCAGTGTTTAAAACGAATAGATCTCAATAAAAACAAAATACTCTGAAGCGGTGTACCTATTCTTAGATAGCTACGGATAACTACGGATAGGAATTGTTGAAGAATGAAAAAAAAAAAACATATAAGCTTAAATATCCCATTCGACATTACCGCCAACTTACACCCTAAATGGAGAATCGACATCATTTTTTTTTTCTAGGATTTTATGTGCTGTCCATTGATAAGACTTCTTAAAGTAGTGTTACACTACTTAACTTCAGAGCCCAATGATGAATATAGTAAGCCCGAAGCTTTATAAATATAAGAGACAAGTCACTATGTCTCACTAAATTATCCACTAGGGCCAGAAGAAACTATTTGTACAACTTGTCTTACTATCTAACAATCCCCATTGAACTCCTCTGGTGAGTTCACATACTCGAGATCAGCGGAGGCCGTTTTACCAACCTCTATCGGCACCTTATCGCCGGTCAGCATTTTCTCCGGCGCGTCCTGACTTCCATCCGAACTGGTAGTACCGTTCTCTTCAAGCACACCATTGCACTCTACCGATTCCTCGTCATCCACCATCGGTACGTCACCTGATTCTGTGTCGTCGGTGCTTTGCGCTAAAATTTCCTGCTTTTCGTCAGACGTGGAATTTGCTGAATCTTCTGGGACTGCTACAGTTACATCGTCATCTACTTCCATTTGTTCATCACCGGCCGGCGTCGTTTCGGCTTCGGTAGACTGTTGATCGTTGGTTTCCTCGGTAACATCCTCGGTAGAATTAATCATTTCCTGCAACTTCTGGAAGGAGTCTTCGATTTGTGCAAGTAGCTCATTACCCGTTGGTACGTCCGGGATCTCTACTGCAGGGGGTTCTTCACCGGTGGTATCTTTCGCTTCCGGAGCGTCCTCTGCGGCAGCGGATTCGTCCTTGGTGGTTTCCATTGCGGGGATTTCTTCCACGGATGATGCGGCGGTTGCTTTGACGGCAGGAGATGCATCTGTAGGTGTTTCTTCTGCAACAGGTGCCTCTGGAGCATCTTCGGACAGTTCAGCAGTATCTTCTATGACAGGTTCGACCTGAGCATCTTCGGACAGTTCAGCAGTATCTCCTGCGACAGGTTCCACTGGAGCATCTTCGGACAGTTCAGCAGTATCTTCTACGACTGGTTCCACTGGAGCGTCTTCGGACAGTTCAACAGTATCTTCTACGACAGGTTCTACTGGAGCATCAACGGTTGATACGGTGGGTTCAGCAGGTTTGGTCGTTTCGTTTTCGTCGGCACTCTTAGGAACAGGTGGTTCGATTTCCGAATTTATCAATTCTTCCGCTTCGGCGATAGGTCCATCGACAGGTGCTTTGTCCTCGGTTTGGTTGGTTTCTGGTTCCGAATCAGCGACGGTGACCGGTTCGTCGTCAACAGGTTCTGTCAATACTGGAGCATCTGGAATGTTCAGTTGGGATTAGATTAGAGGGATTGATTCGAAGTTTAAAATTATGTTGCACATTTCAAAGGAAGCTTATAAGGTCTTTTAACAAGGGCGTTGTCGGAGGGGGCAAATAACCTGTTGAACGGCAAGATCTCAAAAGGTTTCAGTTTCAGATTTTTGTATTTCCACATCTAAAGAATCAATTGAAGAATCATGAAAAGCCATTTAATGGGTAATTTGACCGAACCTTGAAAAGTGTAAGATTGAACTTGGAGGGTGAACAATTTTCAACATTCTGGAACTGATAATTTTCGAAGATCTCTGCCTAAAAAGGGGACGGAAATTAAAGGCAGTACCAAATCTTGAGCTTGAATTTTTTTCAAAATTCTGAAAATATCAAAATTGTACATGGGTATGAGCATGATTGACCGCCCGTGGATGCAACTCCATTATTGCCAGATCAGCTGTAATTACACAGAGAACCAATAGACGTTGCTTGTGACTAGCAATCATCCTCAATGTGTAAATACTGGTGATTTAAAACTAGGCAATACCAGCGCCGGCCACGTCCGAATGCTGGTCAAGAAAGGAATGTTAAAGTAATACTAGCTTTAATCAAAGCCAAGAACACCTCTGCATTTTCACGAGAAATCACTGGGAAGTTGGATATAAGGGTTGGGATTGCAGCAGGATTCGTTTTGATAAACGATAAGCTGAATTGATGTCCTAACGATTCAATAACGCGAAGGAGCTTGGGTTTTTACCCACGGTCTTCTGCTCAGTACGCAAAATCGGTCACCACTAGGCCACCGAGCTCCTTTTATCACAAAACAATTACAATCAAGTTCCCGTTCAACTTGTCGTTACTAGGTTTCGATCCCGGCGGCGACCTTACCGACGACGACAACAACTGCTCTTGAGAAGGATTTGATATGGATTTTCGATTAACACGTCTTTCCTAAATCTCAAATATTATTTCTCTTAATCATATTTTGAAAGAAAGTCGATTTAAAGTATAACTCTATAATGTGAAGGAGATTGGGATCGAACCCATAATTTTCTGGTCAGTAAGTAAAATCTGTCGCCACAAGGCCACCGAGCTCCTTATTTTACAAAACAATTACGACCCAGTTTCTCTTCAACGTTTCTACCGTAACAAGTACTCTTGAGAAGTATTTATTATAGATTTCCGATCAATGCGTCTTTCTTAAAACTCGAATATTATTTCTATTAAATACTCGTTCCTCCAACCAATACGCTTTATCTCATTTTAAGAATAAATAAGATTCACACTAAAACTCTATAATGTGAAGGAGCTTGAGATTGAACCCCTAATATTCTGCTCAATAAGCAAAATCGGTCACCACTAGGCCACCGAGCTCCCCATATCACAAAATATTACAATCAAGTACCCGTTCAACTTGCTGTTACTAGATTTCGTTCCCGGCGGCGGCGACTTCACAGACGACTACAAATACTGCTCTTGAGAAGGATTTGATATGGATTTCCTATCACGAAACACAGACGATCTTCTATTCAGTAAGCAAAAGTGGCAGCCATCAAGCTAGCTGAACTCCTCAATTATTATTTTTTAGACGTTATTGGTGTGTTCTGATTTAGAGTGCAAACGATAAAAGTCGTTAAACGAAAACACCATACGATGTTACGTATGACAGTTGGACCAACAATCAATACTTTCTTTTTCTTTACTTTATTTAACGTCGGTCTCTGTTCCGCAATCTAGTGCCAATCACCGACGGACATCGATTGCCATCCATTGACGGCAATCGAATGTGCAGGAAGGCAGCTTCCACACCTGCGTAGGATATCGTACCCATTCACAACACACATGGGCCGGGACCAACGGCTCTACTTCCCTTCCGAAGGAAGACGTGACCAGAGATTTTTATGCCTCAGAAAAATCCCACCGACCTCGGCTGGGATTGAACCCAGACCCATCGGGGTGTTATAAAGCAGTCACGCTTACCACTACACCACCGGCGCCGTCTAGAGTAATTGACTAGAGTTAGCCGGCGGTACTACCAACAATCAATACGAAACTAACGATTTTAAATTGGCTCACCACTTTAGTAGCCTATTGGTCCCAAGAAAACGATTAACGTACCCTATTCTAGTTGAAATTCTATTACTACACTATGTTTGTTTTGATTCGCTATGAAAGTTTGACAGATAACATCAGGGGTGTGTGGATTTATGCAGAACATGCAGGGGTGAGTGAAATAGCTTGGGACTGCTTGGGACCGTTGTTCTGGTACTGAGTGAGCCAAAAATAATAATGATTTTCTTCGGGACCCAGTGGTCTTAGAGTTACCTCTATGGTTGGACCAGGTCGACAAGGTCTGATCGTATGAAAAATAAAGAGGAAGAGCATTCCAGTCTGAAACATCAAACGAAGTAGAGACGTTTTTTTATTTCGCTCCGTAAAATCCCGGTTTTCTCCATTAGAATAGGATACAAAGGTTATTTGGCAAAGATTGAATCAAATTCAAACTAATAACTGGAAAATATTTTATACGGATGATCTGAAATTAGCTTTTAAAACATCAGAATTGTACATTTAAATAATAAATAAAAATTTTGGGGCGTGAAAAAATACTTATCCTTCTGGATCTTAAAAAAAACTTTCAAGGTCTAATTCTAAGAAAAAATGAGGGTCCCGGACTACTTATTCATGGTAATTATTAATTATAATTCAATTTCCTCCAGTTGTCCGTTTTTCCCGGATTTTTTTCAATTCTCCACAGAACACTAAAAAAATCATGAAATTCATCCTGCGATTCTCTTTGAATTTTGAAGTTTTTTTTTTGGTAATTCACTGTTGCTTTCTTTTTTGTACTTAATTCGATTGAATTCTGCATAGAATTCCCATGCAGTTCCTCTTAGAATTGTCTTAAAATGTTACCTAGAATTATCTTGGAGTTTTCCTCTAATTTCTTCTGAATTTAGACTTCTATATTTTCTTAACGATTCAGATACTATTGCCGATGTGCTTGGAGAATAGTTCACCTCTCTATCAGCCATAGAAGGCTACGAAGAACGCTTCCGCTTCGTCACCTCCCATAGCCAGCATGCCAATTCCAGAGGAAGCAATTGTGCCGGAAATAAAGGAACCCTTCCGGATGAACGAGCTCGCTCTGGCCGGACGAAGTGGGCTATCCTTTGCTCCTGAATATACCATCAGAAGGAAGACGCAAGCTTCTAGATCTAATCAACCAGGAGTGGCTGCACAACTCCCTGCCTCAGGATTGGAAGCACAGACTCGTGGTCCCGATCCTCAAGCAAGGAAAGCCAGGCAGACAAGCTTCAGGCCGATCTCCCTCACATGCTGTGCATCCAAAATCGTGGAAAGGATGGTAAATGGGCAACTGATGAACTTTCTAGAATCCAGGGACCTACTTGACCACCGTCCAGGACACGGTACAAACACGTACTTCGCCACACTTGCTCAAGCCTTTGATGACGCTACCTCGGGTGGACACCACGTCGAACTGGCCGCTTCAGACATAGCAAAAGCTTATAATAGAGCTTGGATGCCAGATGTCATCCGATAAATGGCTGATTGGGGCCTTGGCGGGCACCTGATGCATTTCGTGAAGAATTTCTTGGTAAACCGCACCTTTCAGGTACTTCTAGGAAACCACCGTTCGCAACATTCCGAGAGGAAACTGGCGTACCACAGGGTTCGGTTATCGCGGTGGAAGCTCGCGGAACTCCAGAGAATCAGATACTGTAACCACACTATCCGTTACTCCGATGGATCGGTTTACCGTGAATGGGGTTGGCATCGGCATCACGGGCCCCCAAATGTCCGTACTTCATCGACTTCCAGACCAGTACACTATATTCTCGGCAGAAGCGGTCTCTGTTGTTATTGCTGCTACCACTCCTTCAAACAAGCCGATTGCCGTATTTACGGACTCCGCAAGTGTAGTTTTAGCCCTCAACTCAGACTGTATTAAGCACTCATGGATTCAAGCCATTCAGCGATATGCCCCCAGAAACACTACATTTGTATGGATTCCGGGTCACTGCGGCATTCGTGGTAATACCATAGAGGTAACTCTAAGACTAGAAGGTCCCGAAATAACGTGCTCAACTTTTTGGCTCAGCTCTGGTACTCTCTTCGGTCCCAAGCTAATCGATTCACCCCTCGAAACATAGGAAAAACCAATAACCCCTCATTTTATCTGTCAAACTTTCATAGCGAATCAAAACAAACATTGCGTAGTACTAGAATTTCGACTAGAATAGGGTACGTTTGTCGTTTGCTTGGGACCAATAGGCTACTAAAGTGGTGAGCCAATTTAAAATCGTTAGTTTCGTATTGATTGTTGGTAATACGGAGGCGGATCATCTAGCGGCTTCTGGAAGACAAGCCCAACTGTTCACCAAGGAGGCTCCATCGGGGGACCTGAAAACAATGGGTTGCCAACAAAATCTGGGACTTATGGTCACATACATGGTCCCAATCAACAAGCATTTTCCTTAGAAAAGTGAAGGTTAACATATGAAGATGGGAAGACCCCCTGACCACCAAACTCAGGTTGTCCTGGCAAGACTCAGAACAGGCCATACCAGAGCCTCGCATAACTTTTCAGGGAGCGGCCCGTTCCGGAAATTTTGCGAGCTCTGCCGCACCAACTGTTCAGTGGAACACATAATCTGCCGCTGTACTCAATACGAAGGCTCACGAGAGCTGTACGGCATACCGGGCAGCATTAATGGGCTTCCTCCGCGAGGCCGGCCTCTCCGGTCTCGTTATGGAACCATTAGTCTCTCACAGGCTTCATGGCAGGGCGGTCGACCACTTCCAACCTTCTGTGTTTTACCTCGTACATTACGGAGAGTATGACAGACCATATGCGAACAGATGTCATCTACACTGACCTATCAGCCGCCTTCGACAAGTTGAACCATCCTATAGCGATCGCCAAACTGGATAGGCTCGGTATAAACGGCAGTCTCCTACGATGGTTCGCATCCTATCTATCTGATTGTAGCCACCTCGGCCCGTTGATATTTTTTGTGTATTTCAACGACGTCAATTTCGTCCTCGACGGTCCACGACTGTCGTTCGCAAACGACATGAAAATCTATTTCCGAGCCATCGCTGACTGCCACCTTCTCCAATTCCAATTCAACGCCAACTGAACTGCATGGTTGTAAATCCAACAAAATGTTCAGTAATCACGTTCTGACGGAAGAAACATCCAATTAGATTCAGTTATATCCTAGAAGGCGTTGACGTACATCGTGTGAATCACATTAAAGATCTGGGAGTCATCTTAGATTGTCAACTCATATACAGCCAGCATATCTCGTACGTGATCGACTAGGCATCCAGAACGCTCGGCTTCATTTTCAGGATAGCTAAAACTTTCACGGACATCTACTGTTTGAAGTCGCTTTACTGCTCCCTCGTCCGGAAGGTGTTAGAATACTGCTGCCCTGTATGGAATCCCAACTACCAAAACAGAGTACAAAGAGTAGAACCTATTCAACGACGATTCATCTGGTCTGCCCTTCGATGATTGCCTTGGAGGGATTATCAATCGTGTTGCTTCCTTATTTGATTTTCAGTTGGCACGTGAGACGCTGCGTCAGAGATTCCGTGACATATATTAAAGAATTAGGAATTAAGTTGGATGTCACGGCCTTTGCAGCTTGTTACTTCTTGACTATATTGTATTTCCTGGTATTGCTTAATTCATCATTAGGACTAAACCCAGTCTGTTGATATAGAACCAAATAAACAAATAAACCCTGTCCTTGGGGAGAATTCCTAAAGAAGTTTTGCTTGAATTCCAAGGTAGGTTTGAGAAGAATTCCAAGGTAATTGTGTGGTGAGGTGAATTTTTCTGAGAACTCCAAGTAAGTTTGGAGTAGAATCCCAAGATAATTCTGAAAAGCATTCTAGATAACTACAAGGAATTCTAAAGGGATTTCAAGAAAATTTTGGAAAACAAATACACGCTGAGGATAGATCTAAACTGCCGGTGGACGCTGCACTGTCCCATGTTTCCTATGGAATTTCCATATAACATACGACAGTTTTGCGTCCACCGGTAGTGAAGCGACTTTGTCTAAATTGTTTGTAGGAGCTTGAGAAAAATCAATGGAGAATCCTAAGCAGAAACCTAAGGAAATTCTGAGCATTCCAAGGACAGGACATCGAATGCCAAGGAAAGTTCTAAACGAAGGTATAGGACGGATCTTAGCAGAGTTTCAAAGGTATGAGATGAGATGAGATTTCCATATGACGAAGTTTAAAGAGTTTCTGAAAGTATTCCAAGGGAATGCTGAGAAAAATTCAAAGGTAGGTACTCCCAGCAGCATTGGAAGGTAATTTAGAGGTGAATTGTAAAGGAATTCCTAGACAAAGCAGGACTTCCCAACATTTTTTCAAGGCAATTTTAGACAGAGTTATGCTGAGAAATTTACACGAATTTTTATGATAGTTATTAATGAATAAGAAAGAATCCTACAACGAATATCAAGAGCTTTCTGAATAGAAATCTTGGAGTGATTATGGAGAATTAACTAATTATTAAATAATAAAACTATACCTACCAGAAAGAACTCTAACACTCAGGCCTCTTCTGCGAGTCGTCTGTCTGTCATTTGTGAGGTGACTCTCCATTTGATTTGCACGGAGAGGCACCTCAGAGTGAATTGTGAGTGAAATTTTTGAGCAAATTTATAAGAAATCCTATCAAGAGTTCCACTGTCTTTTCCGAAGCCTTTTTATTCAAGTCTCTGATCACAATTTGATTGTTTGTTTAAAGATCTTCAACGATTTTAGAAGTCAGTATCTAAGAATCTAAAAAAAAAACTTGATGCAAAAATAACCATAATTGTTTGAAACGGATAACTTGATGACCGAAAGATAGCAGAAAATCAACGCTCAGGGCAATGCTGCTCTGCATATTTAGTAACAAATACCAGCCCTAAAGTGGATTTTTTTAGCATCATTCTAGTAACCTATAATCAAAATTGTAAATCGATTCGATCGACATCTAACTACTAATAGATTAAAAACAAAACGCTTGATATAAATCATACATTTTATTTCACCATTTTCAACACATTCGGATATTCAATTCCAACTTGTTCATTTTATTGAAAAGCAATCATAAAAAAAGTTCCTAACTCTAGTAGCAATTATCTTACTGATAGCGATCGCTTGCTTGTTGTTAGTATCAAGACTACATATATAGATAAGAGATAACAATTGCCCGCATTGATTATTTGCAACGTTGTTTAGTAGACCACAGAGGCTTCACTGAAGGAGATTGGTAGACATGGTTTCAAGCAAATAGCGAGTATTCTTACCTTCAGATTCGCCACGCTTCTCTTCCTCCTGTGTCAGTTCCGTTGCTGAACTGCTTTCCACTTCATCGTCCTTTTGTGCGTCCACTTCCATTTTATCGGATTCTACCAACTTTTCACTTTCTTCTTCCTCCTTATCTGCTTCCTTTTCCACCGTAACTGCACTTTCCGGCTCCTCAGAGTTCACTTCTGGTGATTCATTTTCTTTATTCTCACTTTCGACTACCTTCTTGCTGGCATCGACGCTTTCCACCTCTGTCGGTTTTTCAGCCTCCGCAGATTCCATCTCCACATCGTCCACCTCCTTTGACGTCTCCTCAGTCACAACTAGCACTGTCACAACAGATTCTTGCTTCTCCTCTGCAACTTGCTCCATTTTATCATCATCGACGGAATCTTTCTTCTGCTCAACCTCCACCCCATCAGCTTCCTTCTCCTGTTGCTTCTTCTCTTCGGCAACTTGCTCCACGTTTTCCTCATCAGCAGAATCTTTCTTCCCCTCAACATCCGCCTTCTTATCAGCTTCCTTCTCCTTTTGCTCTTCGTCTTCGCCCTCTTCGATGATCTCCACCACATCGTCCGGCTCATCACCGTCTTTAGGTTCAGCTGCACTCTCCGCAACTTTGTCCGCATCATCCTTCGATGTTTCATTTTCATCACCCTCGATGATTTCCACCAAGTCATCATCGTTTTTACTCTTTTCTGCTTCAATTATTTCGACGCTTGCTTCGCCATCAACTGTCTCCTTTGTACTCTCTACGGTGGATGTATTCTCGGTATTTTTATCTGTAACCGCTGTATCAATCTTGTCCAGAGATACGTTCCCTTCGACAGCACTTATCTGCGGCACGCTATCCACGGAAATCAGTTCACTGGATGTATTGACTGCAAAAAAAAGCAAAGAATATTCCCAAATTAAAGCTTTCCATTCATACCTGAAACTCAGCACGTGCAAACTTACCATCGTCCTTCTCCTGCAGAATGGTTGCCACGGCAGCTTCAGTCTCTTTCGAACACGGTACACCCTTGTTAGCTCCGTCATCCTTCTTTTTCTTGCTGCTGCTATCGTCGTCGTCCTCGGAATCGAGATTGATAAGTGTCGTGTTCTGTTCGATAATCTCACAGTCATCCTCATCGTCGCTCTTATCTTCGTCTGGATTTCGGTTGCTAATTTGGTCACCCATCATCACAAAGTCCGATTCCTTAGTGAAACCCATCTTCTTCACATCGTCGACGCACTTTTCCTGGAGAGTCTTAAACCGTCCAATGGCGTACGTTAGCAGATAGGATACGTGGATGTACAGCTCCTTGAGATCCCGCACGTTGCGAATGTTTTTGAACGAATTCGAATTGGTCAAGGTGTTGATCTTATTGACGATGTGCTGGCAGATTTCAACGCCGGACAACAGCTTGCCTTCGAAGTTCTTACGAGACTTTCCGAGAGGCGAGTCTTCGTGAGACCCATTGACCAAGTTTTGAAGCATAGCCAAAGTGGGTAATTGAAGAGCAGGATTCGGTTGGCCTGCGACGATCGTTGGTTGCGGTTGACCAGCTTGAGATTGAGCTTGGACTTGAGCCTGAAGCATTAGCTGTTGCTGACGTTGCTGCTGAAGCATCTGCTGTTGCTGTTGTTGCTGGCGCAGGCGTTGTTCCTGCAACTGCTGTTGTTGCTGAAGAGCAATATTTATATGCATATTCGAACCACCGTTGGTCATGCGCGGAGGGTTTTGACCTACGCTAACAGGGTTGAAGTATGCATTCGGTGGTTTCGGAGCAATGGTCCGGCTAACAGTAACGTTCGGTGGCTGTGCCGGTGCCGGTGAAGCCGCTGGTGCTTGTTTGCGCACCTGTATCAACTTGCCGTTGGGTAAACGATAAGTTCCTTGTTGAGCGGCAGTATGGAGATCAATCCTGTATCCATTGATTGTGTGATAAACCGGAGGTGGAACCGTGTTTGCCTGGTTGGACACGGGCATCCGCATTGTGATGGGATTGGCATTTGCTGGAATGGCTGGCCGAACAACCACTTGCCTACCGGGCACTGTGGCAGGAAGTGTTGGCGCTGGTGTTGGCTTCGGTACGGGCAGTTTTGCCGCGGGAGGCGACCTCGTAGCCACCAATGGAGGCGGTTCTTCCGGATTCATAAACATGCTCATTATATCCGGAGTGCAGACAACCTCGTTGTTGTCTGTCTTGACCTTCTTCGGAGCCGGCGGTGTATTGGCAGCTTGCTGCACGGGCAAAATTGGGCGAGGAAGAATACGCTTGCTGTCCGGTATTTTGGCAGCACCAGGTGATATTACTTCATTGGCATCGGACGGTCGTTTGGTGCCTTTTTTCGCCGCTATCGGCGTGCTGCCTTTTTTGTTCAGCCCCTTGTTGCTGCAGCACGTGGTGTTGTCCTGTTTCATCAGATTGTTGATGGTCTGCACAGAGAGGTTCTTATCCTTCATGTCCCTGAAAGAATACGCGAAAAAAATGGACATTTTAGAATATTTTGTCTTGGGCTCTAGTGGTGTTATGCAGTGCTATTTAGGATTTGCATTGAATTGCGATAAATAAAATGCAAGTAACCAATGGAAACAGTTACGAGGGAACGGGGTTGCGTTGGAAACGGTCGGAATGTGTGAAGTGTTAGCTTCTTCTTCTTCTTCTTCTTCCTCTTGGTGATGACTTACGTTCCAATTGGAACTTTAAGTGCTTATTACACTTACACCGAAAAAAGTTTTCATATAGTTTCCATTTCCAATAACAAAATTAATTATTTTTATCTGAAATTCACATAACATTCATATGATCACATGGACTCTATGTGATAAATTACATATATTTCATTGGACACATAATGTGATTTTGTAGTTCGATTCCCCATTATGAGATCACATGAAAGTTAAGTGAAATTCTAATGGATATTTTCTATTGAAAATGTGATTTATTTTTTATGTGTATTAGTCTATCTATCTATCTATCTATCTATCTATCTATCTATCTATCTATCTTTCTATCTATCTATCTATCTATCTATCTATGTTTCTATCTATCTATCTATGTTTCTATCTATCTATCTATGTTTCTATCTATCTATCTATGTTTCTATCTATCTATCTATGTTTCTATATATATAAATGAATTTCTGTCTGTCTGTCTGACCCTTATACTCGGAAACTACTGAACCGATTGGCGTGAAAATTTGTATGCAGGGGTTTTTGGGGCAGGAAATGGTTCTTATGATGGTTCGAGACCCCTCCCCCAACTGAAATTTCTGCATAACTCGATAACTAATCAAGCAAATGAAACCAAATTTGGCATGTGAAGGTCATAGGGAAGCCCCTTAGGTAAGAGGGGGTGGGGGCTACGTACAATAAGCATGCTTTTTTTTTAATTGGCGCATAAACTCAAGCTATTGAATCCCGAGCAAGGCCGGGCACACTCAGCTAGTTGATAAAAATAGGAGAAATCAAGCCGAACCAGATTTAAGTACCATTGATCGATTCTCTTCATCGACTTTCTTTTTCGATAATAACTGGGCTAAAAAACCGTTTCTTGTCGAGTTTGCCGTATTATATGCTAGATAATAACTTCTTTTATCGAGCTGTGTGTTGAGAATAGATGGAAATGTCTATACATGGTCGCAAACAGAAAATCGACGCAGAGAATCTGACAATGTTACTTAGAACCTACTCCATTGTCCGGCTTGAAATTTTGCCAATTCTATTGATGACATAAAGTTATATTGGCAATCTCCATATTGTTTGGTACAGGAGTGCGCTTTTGACTAGTAGGGTAGTGCGCTACTTCGTCGTAATCGCCCATTTCCGTTCTATCGATCAGAAAAGATCAATAATATCAATGATTTCACCGTGCACAAATCAATAATAGGTTTGTTCCGATGCGCTAGTTCATTAGCTACAACATAAACCCTGTTAGATCGCATTGTATGAATGTTTACGCTCATTGTTCTCAAAACAAAAGAAGCGCTCCTAGCGAATCCCCTTTTTCTACGTTTATCCGTAGGACGAAGAAAATCTAATGGCGTTTCAATGCGTTAGGACGGAATTGAAACTCGTAGAACGAATTTAGAATCAAGAAGCAGTGTTAGATTTTAGACAATATCTCAACAATGTGTGACTCTTTATCAAATCCAACGGTATGTATGGAAAGGTGAATAAATTTACAAGTCATCTTTGACAGAAATATTCTATTTTTTGTTTAAACTCGTTCAGAAAAGAGAGGTAAAGCGCGGGTTGTGCTTAGTAGGACGGAAATTAGATCAAAAACCCTACTACTGCATCATTTTCAACTTCTATTCGATTTTCACACTGCCGTACTCTAGCGGAACTATGAACCTACCCTCTTCAAAACTTTCTCTAGCTAATAAATTATCACACTAAACCTTCATGTTGATAGCATAGCGTTTCCTCAATTCTACTAAGAGAAGTTTTTAGAAAAGAAGCATCTAAGAGTCTGATGAATCCCGACTAAGACACAAATCATCACCAATTTAGGCTCTGGGATATCTCGAAAATCATGGATGTGATCCGATTAATCCTGACTGTAATCCGAAGAATCCTGACTAGAGTTCGAAGAACTTTGAGTATGACCAGGAGAATATCTACTGGTAATCGAAAAATTCCGAGAATCTTTGAGGTGCGAAGACTCTCCGACGGCCTCCTGATCCTTAGAATTTCAATTTGAATCCAATACTTCGGACTGAGAGCCGGGAAGTCCCAACTGGTATCCAGAAAATCCGGATTGAGATCGAGAGAAATGAAAATTTGATCCGGAGAATCCCGACTGGGATTTGAAGAATTTGCGCTGGGAACCAAATAATATCGACGGAAGTCATAAGTATCCCCACTGAGATTCAGAGAATCTCGATTGCATCAAATTCGCGCCAAATCCACGGGAATGTCAGAAATTTGATCATTCAAATCAAACGATGTCAAAACTGCATTTTAAATAATTTTATAATGAGCTCGAATGACACACTGAGTTGTGTGAATGAAAAGTAGCTTATTCGATCGAGTTTACTTGACTTTTAGGTTTGAGTATTTTTTTTCTGGATAAAGATGTGTAATCTACACTGTACACTGAAGCCTTTTACGAACTACTCGCGAATTTCCTGATCATCCGAAAAATACCTTATACTTTCTTGAGATTCTTTAAACTTTTATGAGGTTTCTTGAACTTCTTTTATATCTATCTTTCAAACTTTTCGGAGGCTTCAAAAATTTGAATTAGGTCTAACGCACCCTAAACTTTTATGAACATTCATAGTTTCGTGGAATTTCTAAAACATTTGCTAAGGTTCTCTAATCTTAATAAAGATTTCCAAAGCATAATCAAGATTCCCTAAACATTTTAAAATTTTTCTTAACTTTCCTGAAGAAACCTAAACCATTATGTGATTAATTTGACCCGCCTTAAACATACCCTTAGCTTCCCTGAGGTTTTCTTAACACTCCGAACACGATGCCTCCGGTAAAATGTATAACGGAAAATTTGCAAAGTTTGAAAAATCATAGCTTAACCATTTTTAGACGAATTTCAAATCTTTTGCCACTATTTTAAATTTTGATACTTTAAAGTTTTACTCGATATCAATAGATTAAAAATCTGCCGTTAAATCGTTGAACAATAATTAAATCGTTGAACAATAATTTTTCAAACATTACCAATTTTAAAATAAAAATCCCGAAGAGTCTTTCTGAAGTTCCAAGATCTCAAAAGTTCTACAAAACATCTTTGAGGTGATCACTGAGTTCTTTTGATATACCCTAAACTTCAATATGTTACGCTGAAATCGACTGATCTTTTTTGAAATTAAAGATTTTCTTAAGGAACTTATGAGAGGACCAAGGAGCTTGGAGATCTTCTTCGACTCAAAAAGTGTCTGACTGGCATCCAGCGGCTGAATAAGAAATTCTCTTCCCCAGAAGCTACACCTAATATGGCAGTCCCATCACGGGGATAGGATACCTTAGGCCAACCACCTACTGTCTCCGAAATTTATAAATGGTTACATAAACCAACCCTAATCAACAAATATCATAAACGAACTGCATCCCGGAAGGTTACACTATCCCACAAATGGTTTGGATGATACCCCGCCGAACACGTCGTTAAGCTCTCTTTTATGGTTATTTTGATTAGGGAACAGAGAAAGATTACGAACTGATTTTACGGTAACGACTTTTAGATCTTCTGAGAGGATCGGCGAAATACAGATAGATAGATAAGGTGAACTTCGAAGATCTTTAAAGTGCGAGAGGATCTGCGAACTTCAGACTTTGGAGAGGTTCAAAGAGCTTCAGAAATGTTCAACGAGCGCCTGACGAGTATACATCTTTCATTTTCTTTTTCATTTTGCAGCGTTTGTTGGGTTAATGGGAGCGCAAGTCAATCCAAAGCCGAGGATAAAGGAAGGGTAATGGCTGAATAGTCACAGGACTGCAACGCCTGTCATCTGCGAACAACTCGAGTGAAGCCAAATTTCTCTGGTGCTCTGGTGCTAATTTGACAGCTCCTCCTTTTCCTCTATGATTAAGCTTGGTACATGTCGCGCCGCGTTGCGGAAAATACATAGAGTTTTCTAGATAACGTTATAGGAAAGCATGATTCACGCAAATTGTGCTCGTCAATTTGAAAACAACTGAATCATTTTTTAATTGTCCATTGCGGGAAATTAAGAATGGTATTGAAGGCATTACATTTGTTGCCACTTTGCCGCATTTAATGTTACATGGTTGGAGCTTAAATATGTTATGGATCACCAGCGTTGCTGATGTTTTAGGCAGTTTCAAGAACTGGAACGCATTTTAGGGGGTTGTGAATAGTCTATACGGACCATTTGAACGCCATGGGAAAAGGAAGGGATTGAAGAGGTCGGTTATTGGGGGGTTTTGAAGAAATGACACATAGTACTAGATTTGTGCAGCAAAATGTAAAGAAACGGAAAATCCATCTCCCACTGATTCATCTTTTCACATATATACCAAATAGATATTTTAAAGCAACCATCATAATAAGCAGACAATATATGAAAAGGCTAGTTGCCTCCCTAAGCGGACCCCCCGCATCCTAACCAGCGTTGCCAGTATTCCAGATTTATCTGGATTTTCCAGATTTTCGGTCATCCGGCCAGATACACAGATAGATCACGTATATTTACAGACTTTTAATATATGTTCCAGATTTTCCCAGATTTTTCAAACATGTTGCTTGAAAAATATCATTGCAATTGATATACACTCTAATCAAAAAATAAAAACTGCTACTTTAACTATTAAAGGCCATCAACGTTGGAAATTATTGCAACATCGTACATGGAATTGTTACAACATGTTTGCATGTTAATGAGTTGCAGAATCATGAAACAGGAGCCATTTTCTAATGATCATTAGCTGAAAAAAAATCTTCAAACTTTTGAAAATAGTGGGCCTGAATGTTTGTCTAAT